ATTTGTAGTCCTCGTTATTTGGCGTGAACTTCACCTGTGCGTAATCAAGCTTTCCATCACTACGCCAGGCCACGATGTCGTCCAGCCCCTGCGGTGCCAGCACTTTGTCGTTACATTCGAACCGCAGCTTCAAAAATCGAGAAGGGTTCGCGAGCCAGTCGAGTAACCAGGTCATGCCTTGGTAGGTCTGGTAGTTGTAACCAGTGTAAGGAATTGCGGAAGTCTTGACTTTATTCATCTGCGAAGTTCGGATCCAACGAGTAGGCAATCGACTGGTGATAGAGGTTATTCTTTGACAATACTCCACGGATGAAAAAATTACAACTTACCAACTATAATTTCTAATCAAACACCTGTGTTTGAGCGGCAACCAAGCCTGAAGAGGGTTTTCACCATTATGAGAATAATGATGAAAATTCTAAGGAGTCTTGGCCGTCATGTCGTTATCACCCCCCGTTCGCCGTTTTTTCCGCTCATCTGCCTGCCTCCCCCCAATTGCATAAGTTGGCCGGCCATGCCAGCGCCGCCAACCTGTTCAACCGCAGTCGCAAGCCGCCATTGCCATCCTTGGTCGCCGTCATGCCTGGCGGTATGCCCACAAGCACCCAGACCGAATTGGACGAGTGTTTTACCCACATCCGGCAGTAAGCGCCACTGGTTCGCCATGTAGCCGAGCAAGCGTTCGCCAAGGCCAGCGCCAAACAGGTGGGCTGCGCCGCCTCGCCCTAAACTGCCGCTTGAAACACGCCCCGACGAGCCTGGATGCGTGCCGCGCTGGCATAGCCTTCGACTAGTCGCCGTCTACTAGGCGACGCGCTGCGGCTAGTGAAGAGGCATATAGACTTCGCAGTACGGGTCGCCGAGATTGATCGCACTGCACCACGTCCCAGTCGTGAACGAGCCAGCCGTGTGCGGCTCCCGCTCAAATTGACAGTGCGGGTGCTGCTGATCCAGCCATTTCTCGATATCTCGTTCATACATCCCTACGGCTGGCATCTATGCAGCGCTGCTGCCATTGAGCGATCTCCTCTGCGTCCCAGGCGATGGACTTAGGGCCAATGGGAATCGGCGGCGGCAACACGCCTGCCTTCACCTTGCGCCAAATTGTGGCGCGGGACCAGCCGGTGGCCTCGATTACAGCAGGCAAGCGGAGGAATTTTTTAGTCGTGGTCATACGATTCTCCTTCGATTGATGAACAGCAAACAATGGAGAGTCATGCCGACTCTCCTCGATCATTCCGGCAGCGCCAGGTCTGCCTCCTTGCATCTCTTCTGTTCCATGAACTTCGGATCTGATACAGGCAGGCCGTCATCTCCCCAAATAGATGGAAGTGACCTGCTCACGCCCATGCCCCATCTCCATTGAAATCTTCAGCCGCGCAGCTTGATCTGCGTTTTTTTGTGAAACAGCCAGCTGTCTGGACGTCGCGCCGCCACAGGCTGGGCTAGGTCGGCCAGTCAACTCGGCATAGCGCCGCTGCGCGTACTCATGGCGCAGCCCATGCACGCCATGGATGCCCGCCTTGTCGCACTGCGCCCGAAAGCGGTTCAACTGGTCCCGATACCGCAACTGCGTGGGAATCAGGCTACCTTTTCCGGCC